ATGCAGATTGGCTTTGGCAAATATTTGAAAGATCCCCCCAAAAACCTATGAATGGGGCATGTCAGTAAAGTGAAACAAAGCTGCAGACATGATGAGATAGTAGAAAGATTCCTGATCCAACGAGAAGTAGTCTAAACCAAAAGAAAGTCAGAACGCAGCCCTTAAACGGTGAACCTGGGATGATGCACAATGGCAAACTGCTGACCAGGCAAGAGACACTGATGCTTGAAAAATAACGATGCAGTGATAACTGTGGTGATAACAGTAATAAAAGTAGTAACAGGATGTGGCTGAGCGCCCTGCCCGCCATGACCGCAGACAAGCTTAACGAAGCAATGAGTTGAGGGTGCGAGCAGAGAACATGCACGTGCAGCAATTAGCTGGGGATATAATACGCGAGGATCGATGAGCTGAGAGCGAGATGGGACGCGATGATCTAGACTAACCCACAAGCGGCGATGACCGAAGACAAAAAAAGCAAGGCGTGATGAATAAGTGTAATGTTAGCCATGATATGCTAAGGGGTTTGAAGCGAAGCCTTGTGATGCGAACGCATGAAATGGATTTGGGTGTGGTACACCTGAAGCAATGAATTGAGGGCCGTGATGCACCTGCTGCGATGAGTAAGTGTGATGCGCCTGAAGCAAAGAGCTGGTTGGCCGTAATGCACTGCTGCGATGGAAAAGAGCGCAATGAGTGCCGACGCAATGGGAAAAGCAGGATACGTCTGCCGCAATGAGTATGGGCGCCATGAAGTGCCCGCTGTGATGCTAGAAGGCGGTAAGAAAGGCCCGCCACAGTGTTGCCACCTAAACACCTACAATGATGGGCACCATGAGGCACCCGCCGCGAAGGTAGAAGGCGCCCTGAGGCACCTGCCGCAAAGGTAGAAGCCGCCATAAGGCCCCTGCAGTGAGGGAGAAGGGCACATAGGCTTCGGCCGCTAAGGATGGAGGGCACCATAATCATCTGCAGTGAGGGAAAAGGGCACATAGCACCCGCCGCTAAGGATGGAGGGCACCATGCGTGCCCCGGCAGCCTTTGGAAAAGCGCCCCACACAGCTTCAGCGGTAGGTAGATGCGCCACGCCCACCTTCGGCGGTAGGAAGATGCGGCACGCCCACCTTCGGCGGTAGGAAGAGGCGGCGCTCGCACATCCAGCAGTAGGAAGAGGCGGCAGGCACCATAACTGCCTGCCGCAGTGATATAGGGCGCCATAACACATGCAGTGATGAGAAAGTATGCCATAAAGCGCTTGTTGCGATGGATGGAGGAGCCTAGGCCCCAGCCACGATGAATTCGTCTAAGGTGCAGATTTAGATAGAACAATGCGCCGAGGGGAATGCCTGAGACTGTTCTGACATTCAGACATGCAGTTTAAGATGATCTGAAACTAGAGCAGAGATTAATTAATGCACTGAGTTACATAATCACCAACCAGACAACAGGCGCAGAAGACACATGAGCTTCCTACTGATCACGAAATGATAGTAACGATGGTGAACTGCCAAAAGAAATTCCGCAACAAAAATGAGCATGATACAATTAAAATGTGATAAAATGAGTCTGCTAGGGAATCAATGCGTCTCAACCCCAACGCACCAATGGAGATGATAGCCGATGACTCTAAAGAGAAGGCTGCAGCTTAATTTATCATTTAAAGTGACGAGACATCCACTAGAAAATTCACCCCACCTATGCAGTGAAGACTTGATTGAATGTTATGTGATAAGCCATATCTAAAAGAATTTTTTTCTTTTTTATGATAGAAACCACTGAAAATCGCTGACAATTACAGTAGATCACGTTTAGCCTGGTGAAATTAATTAGTTAATGGATTTATTGAGTCACATTAAGGAATTTGGGTTCCAGTAACGAGATTTATTCATCTAATAAATGATGCAGGATTAACTGGTGTTGCTGATTGACTGGCAGACAGTGTATGTGGTTAGACCAAAGCATGATTCAAATATATTTTAAACATATGTTCAAATGATTTAATAAAGTCGTTGGGAATAGGAAACAACTAACTTTTCACAAAACTTTGGTTCTAAATTCAGCTTCCTTAAAAAGAAATCTGAGGCAAGCATGAGTTGAAATCAAAAACGGACTGAAGAAACTCCATCAGGGCAGCGCACATCTGCTGATTAAACCACAATGACGTAATTAACCGAGAACATGTATAACACGAGTCGGGGACGTGAAAGCAAAGATCAGAGACTGATGTTAATTAACGATGACAAGCTGTAAGCTGAAGAAGCATGTGCATGTGATATGAGCTGAAGAAAAGAGCTGAGGGTATGAATGAGGAAACACTAGAGCCTTGGAGCAATACGTCTCACCTGAAGAGAATCAGTGTCAGCGAGCAGAACGAAGAGCGAGCCATCTGACTGCTGATGCTGAAACACAGAAATGTTTTGAGACGGGGGAACAGGGAGTGGCGGAGCCGCGAATCTCTGCAGCATTACGTGGATCAACAGGTGTGTCAGAGGATAGGATCCAAGCAGCTGAGGATCCAAAGCTAACTTCGAGTTGAAACGGGTCATCCAAATGACGTCAGACAGCGCGTCCGCCACCTGCGCACTTAGAAACAGACCAGCAGATCGGAGGCCTTTAAGATGGACTTGGATGCTGATTGGCTTTGGCTGAGGTGTGGTCAAAGCTGATTGATTGAGTCGCAGGTGATGTAGGAGAGCAATTGGTTTCTTCAATTGAACCTCCGCCTATGCTCCATTTTATTATTGCTGTTGGGTAGAAAACTTTGATTTATAGAATTCAAGTAAGCCTTTTTATGAATTAATGCCCTACTTTATACAAAAGTGTCTCACAAAAGTTGTACAAATAGCAGATCTAGTTCAACACATGATATTTGTTAATATAGCAGAGAGACAATAACACAATTTACAATAAATTAATAGTTTTAGAATTAATTATGCATTAAAACAAATCCAGAGAGAACCTAAATAATTGCCTTGTAATGCCATGGCAATCCAGACCTGAATTGAATGATTATGCTAACTAAAATGCTAAAATATTTAAAGGAAACAGAGAAAATGTTTTAGTGACAATGCAAGAAACATTTACATGGCATTTTTAAAAAAAAGATGGAAACAAGAACTATGAAAAAGAAATATTCAGAATATTTAAGATCTATATACCTTTTCATCTGGCTCTTTATAAAAAAAACAGTATGCAATTAAATAT